TATATATTTGGTCTTTCATATGACTGTGTTTGCATACTAATCAGAGGTTGTATAGGCTGTAAACACTGTAGCTGCTTGACACCATAACACATTGTCCTATGGCTTATATTATCATACCTAGCCTTTAAGCATCTCCATGTTTATAAGTAAAAACATTGATTTCATAGCTCAAGTTTCCTGAGTTACTTCCATACCCAATTTTCTGTAACTTCTTTTTGCTCCTTGATTAAAATAAATAAAGATTCCAATACCCAGGAACAGGCAACTATCACTTGATTGCCTTCCTCTAATCTACTATGCACTGTAATCTGTTATCAGTTCATTCCCATACCCAAGCTCTGTGATAAAGTCAAAGGCAAAGGCATGTGAATGCCACTGCACTTTCTGTGGAAGACATGTCCTAGACCTGTTCTGCGGCACAATCAGATTTCTCATATTAACGTAAGGACAAGCTCCAGGGAGAATGACTGCTGTCGTGATTTCATTTCATTGAAATTCCATGGCTGTAGCAGCATGTTTGCTCATTCCTGGCTCATGGTTTTGTATGAGACAATTGGAGCTTCATAAATATGTTTCTGCTACCCTCTAGTGGAAGTTGTATGAAAGTAGGCGAATACAATCTAACTAAACATGGTGGGATCCTAGTTCATGAAGTCTATATGAGTAAAAATTATTTTTATTTTGCTTTTGAGACAGGGTCTCACAGTGTGGACCTGGTCGACCTAGAAGTTGTTCTCTTGGCTGGGAACTCACCTTTCTTTGCTGGAATTAAAGGCATGCACCACCATGCCTTGCTATATATGTAGAATTTGATTGTATCTTTGAAACAGTAGTATAAAATACATATACTATGATAGGCATCTGATGTGCCAATGAAATGTGTGCTTCAATGATGCTATTTTGGACCATGTCAATGACTTCTTGAGGAAGTGACTTGGGTAAAGAATATGAGAGTCACGCTTAGAAGCTTAAATGCTTACATTTCTGGATTAGATTCCCCACAGCAAAATGTTTCATCCACACACACTCGGCTAATTCCACTAATGTTGTAATCATCAACAATTCACATCTTTAAACAATGTCTCTAGAAAATGTGTACAATACATTGACTGATATAGTGGTGGTCTAGAAAGAAATATAAAATGTTATTCAGAGGTTTTGTGTGAGGTGCTTTTTAAAAACTTCCTTGTAAAAGGATAAGAACAAAATGAACAGAATCAGAACCTATTCTTGTTGACAAAACTAAATGTATTCACTAGTCACTGTAAATCAGAAGTGACAGCAACAGAAGTTTTGTGGGTTTTTCTCCACTAGGCATTTTGTACAATCTGTCGTTAAGAAAGGGACACCTCTGGGATCCATCCTTCCTCCTCTTGTAGAAAATGAGTTAAATGCAAGCACCAGCCAAGGAGAGATGAGCATATTAACAGGACACCTGTCGCAGGTACTGGCTCGGCCCTGAATCAGGCAAGATGTATCTGAAATTGTGAACTCTCTTGTATCTCCGCATCTCAGCAGTGTAAAGGACCCCATTAAACCCACACCTTGTGTATCTGTGACACCTTAGAAAGTGGAACATCCTTCTGCTATAAAAGTCCTTCTTGTCTCCTTCCTGGTTCATGCTTCCTATACACCATTAAACAGCTGCCTATTTTCCTAATTTAGGTTGTCATGTATATACTTACAATTGTTCATTTTCACTTTGCAGGGTAACCTTCCATCACAGCCTATCCCTGGAAAAGGTAAACTAGTCTTTCCCTTATGCTTTTGCTCTCCCATAGATAACAAAGCACTCAAAAATCCTGCTTCTAAACAGACAGTTCTACCTTCTCCCACGTCATCCTCTCCTACGATTTACTAGTTCTCACCTACTCCAGACTAGGAACATGGGACAATCTCACAGGTTAAGTTCAAGTGGAAATAGAAATGGAGGAGCATGCAATGGAGAGTCTGTGTGAGTCAAGTGTGTGTGATTGTTTCATGTTGTTGTTCTGATTCAAGTGAGACTGGGTCTTACTAAATTGTCCTGACTGGCCTACAACTCACTGAGCTCCAAGTTGGCCTCTTAATCCTCAAGGTTACTGAGTTTACGGGTGGGTGTCCACACTGTCATGCCTTTTAACGCATGCATGTTGTAGTCATAATACTGTTATGAACTAAAGACTTTGTCAAGATTCATATCCAAAAGAAATGTCACATACATGTATCTACATTGTTGGTTCAAGATTCTCTATGAGTTTTGTGACAATACTTGACAAATACAAACTGTGGTTATCGTCACTGTGTGGAGTAATTAAAGGGCTGGCTGACACACCAGGAGCAACAGACCCGTCATATTTTCACTGTTTTCTGCACTCCGACTCTCCCTGCTCCTCTGACTCATTCTTTTTTCCAAAACAAGGTTTCTCTGTGTAGTCTTGACTGTTTGAGAACTTGTTCTAAAGACTAGGCTGATCTTGTACTGACAGAGATGTGCCCACCTCTGCCTGGGATTAAAGGCAACTACCAGCACTGCCTGGCTAAACTTTTCCCTAAGATTTATTTGTGTATGTATTTTTATATATATGAGTGCTCTATTTGCATGCATGCCTGCATGACAGAAGAGAGCATTAGATAGAAGAGTTCATTAGATTCCATTAGAGATGGTTGTGAGCCACCATGTGGTTGTTAGAACTTGAACTTGGGACCTCTGGGAGAGCCACCAGTGCTTTTAACCACCCAGTCATCTCTCCAGCCCTGGGACTGCCCCTTACAATATTGTATTTTTATGCAATACACTAATTATATCTGTCATAGCTTGATAATTTTTAAAGAACATGTTCCCAAACTTACCAAAGTGATTTAAAGTTTCTGTATTATAAAATTATGAGTGTGTGAACTCTACCTTCACAGACCTTAGGCCTACATATAAGTGATTATCTCACTGATTTCCCATAAATAGAACTTGAATTTGAAACACTCCTGCCATCATTTTTCCAATCTTTAACAGTCTGTCGCTTAACAGTGTAAGATATGCTTGACATATTTGTCCTCTCCTCTTCGCAGATGAACAGATAGACTTTTCTCTGGGTGACACCCACCCACCTGATGCTCATAGTTTAGAAAAGGATTTGATGAGCATGACCACAGCGACACAGGACAAGTCACAGGAGGACTTGGCAACAGTAAATGAAGGTGCTTCCAGGGAAATATGGTTAGATTTTGAAGACTTTTGTGTGTGCTTTCAGTAAGTATTTAAGTGCTGTTTAGCTGATTAGATTCTCCTAAATAAATCCTGAGCTATGTTACTGTATAGACATGGTTTGTTTCTGCATCTTTATACATTAATCATATGATCTATTGATTCGTAACTATCATTCAAAAAAGGAAAGTAGGTATCAGCTGGGAATTAGCATAATATCAAATACAATTTTTCTTTTGATTGAAAATAGATTCTTCTCTCATATAATAAATACATCCAGAACACAGTTTCCCCTCCCTCAACTCCTCCCAGATCCCCACACATCCCCTCTCCCCTATATTCTCTCTCTCTCTCTCTCTCTCTCTCTCTCTCTCTCTCTCTCTCTCTTCTCCTAATAAAGGGTAGGCCTCAAAGAGACAACAGTCAACAAGAACAAAACAAGATATGTTAAGACAAGGCAAACCCTCATATCAAGGCTAGACAAGGCAATTCATTTGGAGGAAAAGAGTCCTAAGAATAGGCATAAGAGTCAGAGATACACCAGCTTCCACTGTTAGGAGTTCCACAAAAACACCAAGCTAACAGCCATATTGTACCCGCAGAGGACCTGGTGCAGACCCATGCAGGCTGCATGCTTGGCCCTTCAGTCTCTGTGAACTCATATGAGCCCTGCTTAGTTGATTTTGTAGGCAGGGTTCTTCTGGTGTCCTCCATTCCCTCTGACTTCTACAATCTTTCCTTCCTGTTTTCTTTGGGGCTTCCCGATACCTGAGGGAAGGAATCTGATGGAGACTTCCTATTTAGACTCTCTCTTCACACAATGTCTGGCTGTGGGTATCTGCATTCACTCTCTTCTGCTGCCTGAAGGGAATAATGGATGCATTGAATATCCATCTGCATAGCACATTATCAACAAAACCCCATTCTAGTTAGTCTTAGTTCCTTCTCAAACACTTGTTAATTAAGGTAGATTTTCCCATTGAGATAATTTTGTCTCTTTAGAACAAAAGTGAAGCAATTTGTAAAGAAGTTTTTTTTGCCTATAATTATTTAAGTTTAAGAAACTAAACATGTAATACTAGTTTTGTATCTAATGGCAATAATCTGTTATAAATGTTCTCCTTTTCAGCCACATATATATTTTCCACAAACCGAATTCTTATTGTCTTAATTTTCAAAAGTCAGAATTCAAGGTAAGTTCATTAAACTTTCCTTTATAGGTTTAAGGTTCATGAAGAATTGTTGTATGGGGGCTGCTTGTTTATTTCCAGAGTTTCCAGACTCTTAAAATAACCACACAGAAACTGTAATAATTAAATCGCTGCTTGTCTCATTAGCTCTAGATTCTTATTAGCTAACTCTTACATCTTAATTTAACCCATTTCTATTAATCTGTGTATGGCCATGTGGCTGTGGCTCACCAGGTACAGTTCCGGTCTGTATCCAGCGGGGCTAAATGGCTTCTTTCTAAACTCTGCCTTCTTTCTCCCAGCATTCAGTTTAGTTTTTCCTGCCTAACTCTACTCTTTTGTCCTATCACAGGGCAAGACAGTTTTTTTTTTAAATTAATCAATGATATTTACAGCATACAGAGGGGAATCTCACATCAAAGAATGCCCTTACTAAAACATCCTAAATTTCTTACACAATTATACTTGATACATCAATTTTCAGTTTTTTAATCACCCTTTATCCAGACTATAACTGATGCTTTACTAGTTTGTATCCCAGAGTCATCCACATGGTTGGGGTATAACTAAGACAATGCCTGTAAGACACTTTTCCTATCAGTAAATGATGATAAATGTTGGCTTACACTTTCAAACTAAAGTTCACCATTTTTGAAAACCATCAACCTTTTCAATGTATGGGCATATGTAGTGGCATGGTCAAATGTTCTTTGTTCTAAGTGTTTTTTTTAAGTGATTATAAATAATTATTTTTCCTTTTAAAAATGTCAAGTTAGCAAAATAAAGTGACATGCCTATGTAACTTGTTTACTTCTCCAAATGTCTATAACATACATGGTCATG